TCATTTTTAGCTGGGCCGCAGGATGGCCGAGTTACCTGTAGACCCCATGCTGAGCAAGATGATTCTAGCATCTGAGCAGTAAGTCTGAATGCAATATATAAACCTGTTTTGTTTTTCTGGAAATGTACTTTTTTTTTTATAGATATTTAACACTTGTTTAATGTATTGTACATTTCCCAAACACCATACACCGTACGATATGTTTCAGTTTAGTTCTGGATATCACTTGCGAGCTCCATAAAAGACGAACACAGCGCATGTCTTTTGAATGTGAATATGCTTCTTAAACTGTTTGTCCGGTCATCGTGCAGCCACCTATCTTACATGCCAGACCATTGCTCCATCTCCTTCTGCCAGGCCCTGCTGCTTTAGAAAAAAAATCTAATCTACTGCTCATTTGAAGCTGCTTCACTGTAGACACTTACTGAATTTATCTCCCTTGCAGGGCTGAAGAGCTGTTCTAGTGTTTTACAGTCTGGAAGTAAACCACATTGCTCCTCTTTAATCTGATGTTTTCTCTGATGTAGACTTTCCCAGAGAGGCTGAAGAGTGTGATTTTCAGTGTGACTTCCCTTTATAAGCAAGAGGGATGGATGAATGAATGGATGGATAGATGGATGAATGGATCGATAGATGGATAGATAGATAGATAGATAGATGGATAGATAGATGGATGGATAGATGGATTGATGGATAGATAGATAGATAGATGGATAGATAGATGGATAGATAGATAGATAGATAGATAGATAGATATATAGATGGATGGATAGATGGATGGATGGATGGATAGATGGATCTATCTCTAAATTTAAAAAGAAAAAAAATTATACATACTCTATATAGGCCGCACTTCTCTATAAGCTGCAGGTGTCCATGTTGAAACATGGGATATTTACACAGAAAGATTTTTTTCATTTCTAATTAAATAAATGTTTTTTTTCCCCAAACCATGTCTGTAACACGGTTGGTTACACGTTATCTCACACGTTATCTCTTTGCTGCTTCGCCGCCCTGACCATAGTTGGAATGCACAGGAGAGACTTAGTGATCTGCTCCGGGGCTGAAGCTAACATTAGCTCCGGGGCTAACTCCCTTCACTTTATTATCAGCCACACCGAGCACAACAGAACATAAACAGCTCCTCTATAACCAACTCACGCTACAACACGACGGGGCTCAAACTGCTCTCAACTTTCGCTACCGTTCTCTCTCTCTCGCGCGCCATTTACCGACAGACATACGCTACTAGTATAACACAGTAGCCTACCAGAAAATAAATTGATCGCTAGCGGCATAAACTTCATTAGCCCGTAAAAATCCATAAGTTAGCCGCGTCATTGTTTAAGCCACACGGTTCATAGCCTGTGGTAGTAGTAGCGGCTTATAGTCCGGAAAATACTTAGTAAAGACAGTCTTTTTTTTTTTTGCACATTTATGCACATGTGGCCTGTCCCATAAATGTTTCAGTGAATTACTAAACTACAGATAATGTTTTTCTAATTAACAGGTAGAGTCTAACTTTTTTTAAAAATGTATTTTTATTTCTTTTTTTTTTCCGTCTAGGTATAATTGTTCAGAGGAAGTTCTAACAATAGCAGCAATGTTGTCTGTGAACAACTCCATTTTCTACCGACCCAAAGATAAAGTGGTGCACGCAGACAATGCTAGGATGAACTTTGTGGTACCAGGGGGAGACCACTTGGTGCTCCTTAACGTTTATACACAGGTAACATAACCTTTCATTTCATCTGGTCAAGTTACACAAATGAATGATTTTTACGTATACAGATAAATATACATGAAAAATTTTGCAACAGTAAATTTGTTGTTCTACTGCAATTATGACCTTAAGGGCAGTTTGTATGTTTAAATATTTGCTTTAGATCAGGAATTCTGTAGAGTTGTTTTCTTTGTAGTGACTCGTCGGTCCCCTCCAACAGCTCCTGGTTTATAATCGCAACAAAAAGAAATCTTTCAATTTTAAAATCTTTATTAACTGAAGCTCATTCCCAATTCTGATAGAGCCAGAATTGTTTTTTTTTTTTTATTTTGGTTTAATTATTATAATTTTTTTTCAAAATCAAAAAATAAAGAAGATATTTGTCATATTCTAGATTACATGATTTACCTACTTATCTTTATTCTCTTTTGATTTCTACCGTTTCTAAAACTGTGTTAAACTTTGTGTTAATGTAGACTATTAGAGTGCTGTCTAAGTCAGGACACTCTCGCCAATAAAAAGATTCTGAATCTCAGTGAGATTTTTATATAAAAAAAAGAAAAAATTTTATAAGATTTTTATAAAAATCATTGCCGTAGTTTCTCTGTCCCTTACAAAAACGTAACAAATGTAACAAAACCGTTCTTCTCGTGTTAGTTAGCTCGTTTAGATCAGAGACAATAAGGATGTATTTTCCATGTGAGGAATATGTTTTGTAACTGTTAGTCTGTGGCAGTATTCTCAAATAGTGGGGCGAGCCCCCCTGGGGGGGGGGGGGGGATAAGAGGACCCCTGCGGTAATGCTTGAATGATAACAAGCCTCCAGTCACTAGGTGGCAGCAACGCATACAGTGGTTTGTACAGATAAAAAAGTTATCAGGTTCTCAATAGTATTTCAATTCGTGGGGGGGTGAGAACATTTCTGTCCCCAAGGGGGACACTGGCTTGTGTACCCTAGTGTACCCTAGTGGCTGTTTTTTGTTGTTGTTGTTGTTGTTGTTGATAGCCATGGGTAAATTGTTGGGATTACTGTCGCAAAAGCATTTTTTTTTTTAAAAAAGAGAGAAATGCAAAATGTACTATCTTTCTCCTACAGTGGGTGGAAAGCAACTATTCCACTCAGTGGTGCTATGAAAACTTCATCCAGTTTCGCTCCATGAAGAGAGCCCGTGATGTCAGAGACCAGTTGGAGGGCCTGATGAGTCGCATCGAAGTGGAGGTGGTCACCTGTAATGGAGACAGTGGGCCTGTTCGCAAGGTCAGTGCCAATGTAAACGTCTTGTTGATTCATCAGTGTCTTAAGTCACCGGGGCAGTCAAGTATAAAAGTCTGAATAATTAAAAAAAAAAAAAAAAAAATCCTCATCTACAGCTATATGGTATCATTTCATTCAAGTTGTAAATCTTATTTTTTGCATCTACAATACATTGAAGTTGCTTTGTACAGCTATTATTGACTTCTTTACATAGATACAGTGGAAAAACACATAGACCTAAGCAGCATGTGTATATATATATATATATATATATATATATATATATATACATATGTATATATATATATATATATATATATATATACATATGTATATATATATATATATATATATATATATATACATATGTATATATATATATACATATGTATATATATATATACATATGTATATATATATATATACATATATATATATGTATATATATATATATACATATGTATATATATATATATATATATATATATATATACATATGTATATATATATATATACATATATATATATGTATATATATATATATACATATGTATATATATATATACATATGTATATATATATATACATATGTATATATATATATACATATGTATATATATATATACATATGTATATATATATATATACATATATATATATGTATATATATACATATATACTCTGCTCTGAGGCTCTATGTTGACTGCAAGTATGTACGTGCCTGAGAGAGTGACTGTGTGTTTCATTTTACTTTTGGTGTCTGCTTTCTAGGCAGTGACAGCAGGATATTTTTATCATACTGCACGACTTAGCAAAGGTGGCTACAAGACAGTGAAGCACCAACAGACGGTGTATGTCCATCCCAACAGCTCTCTGTTTGAGGAGCAGCCGCGCTGGCTCATCTACCACGAACTGGTCTTCACAACCAAAGAGTTCATGAGACAGGTCTGATTCTTACATACTTCAAATATCTTCAGGTTACAGAAGTCTCGTTGTCAGTGCTGTGATAGACTAAACAATGTCGTAAATAATGGATTCGACCATTTCCGGCCATTTCCAAAGATGATACTGAGGCATCTCTCAAATTTGGTGCCAAACATTTTACAATTTTGGTAATTACGTATGTATTGACCATACATTCATGTGAATATCCACATATTTTGTCCCAGCAGTGAAACCATTCAATACATGGGATTTTATTATTTTATTTAATTTAATTTAATTTTATTTTATTTTATTTTATTTTAATTTTTTAAATTTTATTTTATTTTATTTTATTTTAATTTTTTAAATTTTATTTTATTTTATTTTAATTTTTTAAATTTTATTTTATTTTATTTTTTATATGCAACAACAGGTGGATGGATGGTGGAATTATTGGATGAACCCTCCTCCTGCCTTTGCATTTTGTAATTCTGTTAATGTTACTTGGAAAATCACTCAAAACGGACTTTAAAATTAAAAAAAATGTTTAAGGTCATGCAGCTTTAATGGCTTCAAGACAGAGTTTAAACACTTGTAGTGTTCCATCTGGACGGATGGATTAAATATTTTCGCATGTTACCAAATGCAGCAACGCATTAAATGAATGACAATAATATGACTTTTTTTTTTATGTCAGAATAATTTGACATTTAATCTCAAATGTTTGCTGTAGCACAGGCGGGGCCAAACTGTTGTTACTCGCGGGCCACAAAAATGAATAAAGGGGAAAAGTTTGGCGGACCACATTAAAAGGCTAAACGGGCTGCTTCCAGCCCCCAGGCCTTAGTTTACCCATGCCTGCTCTAGCATCTATAGTATACTACTATATAACCCAGTGATTCCCAATCTTTCTGTGCTGGGCCCACCTTTGATTCATAAGAAAATATTCGCACCCCTAATCCCCCCAAAAAAAAACAGTTTATTTCACACATTTTTAATGACTGCGATTTTGTGTTATTTACATTGTAAACCATCCTTTCTTTGTCTTTCTTTTGCAGGTGATTGAGATAGACAGCAGCTGGCTGCTGGAAGTTGCCCCTCATTACTATAAGAGCAAAGAGCTGGAGGACAGCAGCAGCAAGAAAATGCCCCGGACACAAGGAAAAACAAAAGAAGAGCTGGGCTGAACAGTTGAACCCTGTAAGTAAGAGGGAGATGATGCTCCTTGAGTCAGGGCTGTAGCGTAGTTTGCAGTATTTACAGCTGCTGCTACTGTACATTTGAGTCATTCAGGGACATTTTATTCTGTATAAAACCTGTGTACAGCGGCCGGTTTGGAATGGAACTAGATTTCAGTCAAAACGCAAATTGTTAAAAAAAAAAGAAGTGAAACCTAAACATATATTCAATGCAAGTGATCATGTTTGATATATGTCGTAGAATAATAGTGCTCACCCTTGTATGAAGTTTGTAATATGTATGTTTTTTTTTACGGAAACTATGATTTCAATAAAAAGAAAGTCCCAGGAGACTTGGGATAGCTGACCTTGTTGGGTTTTGGGGTTATTGCAGGGGATTGTGGGTTGTTACCGTGTTTGATCAAGACCCAGCCCCCCCCGCCCCCAGGCACTGCTGGGGAAAGGCAAAGTATAATGATAGAAATCAACAACATCATTTACACAAGTTTGGCGGGCCGAATTAAAAAGCCAAACGGGCCGCGTTCATCTCCCCGGGCCATAGTTTGCCCAATCCTGAGCTAAGGCAACTAGATAATAGGCTAGACAACTAGACTGTAAAGCTAAATACATTTTTACAGTTTTACAGTTTTGTTGCAAAGGACAAAGGTTTTTTTTTTTTTTAAGCAAGACGCTAAAGCTAAATTGGAACATTTTAATCTTTTGCTGACCAGTTTAGTGAATCTTGGTTCCAACGTGTTGAAAATTAGTTTTGAAACTCGCAGGCAGACTTGTAGGTCGTCTTTGTGATCGCACTTTGATCCAAACAATTGTATGTACTCAAACAACGTGGCATCTGAAAAACAATGCTAGAACTGAGAACCTTTTTGAATAAGACCAATGTTTTTTTTTTTATTCAAGAATAAAAGAAGCACGTATAAATTGAACAAACAAGTTGAGTAAAACAGTAAAGATATGTAAATTAACAATCAATAAAAAAAAAAGCTAATTAAAACTAGTACAATGAATAGTAGTAGTTGGCCGAAAAACATGCTATCCAGACTAAAAGGTATTGTATAAATAACTACATTTCAGCCGAAAGACTAAAAGTTAGGAGTTAGTGTCTCCGCAGTCTCTGCTGCTCTCAGGTCCTCAGGCAAAGATGGAGTCCACAAGATAAAAATCAGCCTTGTTTGCTTTGGTTTGACGTTTATTAAAAGGCTGCTACCTGGAGACCTGGGAGTTCCAGAGGACTAATATGTCGCAAAAAACCAGACCATCAAAAGCTTAACAACCCAGTAAAAGGATCTTAAAGTGGATTTGAAGCACGCTACAGCCAGTGCAATGCACTTGAAGACTGGTATGATGTTTGTTCTTTGGTCTTTGTCAGCATGTGATCAAACGGTGCATTGGTGTCTTTGTGTCGGGTTGTGATAAGAAATGGTCTCACTCTGGCGACGTTGTTGTGATGACACAAGTCAGGTTTTGTGGTGTGTGTTGAAATAAAATAATACAAATTAAATTACATTTAAATGCACCTGGAAATTCTATCCGTTAAAGGAATGAACAGTAGTGATGTTCGATACCACCAATTTCCTTTCCGATCCGATACCGAGTAAATTTCGGGCTGGTATTGCCGATATCGATACCGATATTTTGCATGTTATTTGTAAAACAAAAATAAAAAATAAATAAAATAAATAATCTGAGGAGCCATTTGGGACCCGAAAGAGTCAGATTTGTTCAGTGAACCGAGCCAAAAGAACCGGTTCTCTAAAAAAGAGCCGAAATTCCCATCTATAGTGACTGAGTGAGAGCACGGAGTAGAACCCCTGTGCCTACGCATGACGCACACACCCAGGCGGAAGAAGAAGTAGTCCCACCAGCCGAGCGTCACTTAGACAACATCTCAATAATTTGGATACTTTTCACCATGTTTCTGTTTAGGATACACCTCATTTCAGAATGCGTAAGTATCCAAAGTATCGATATTTTGATTTCAGAATCGATTTCAGAGCATAAAGATCCAGAATCGGAAGTATCGATATTTCAGGATCGATCCGCACATCACTAATGAACAGAAACTGGTGACGAAGGACAGCCTTGCCTTGGTCCAACATGCACCCAGAACAGGTCCGACTTACTGAACCTTGGAGCACAAGTGGAGTTTTTGTCTTCCACCACCAGGACGAAAATTGTTCCTCTTGAATCCGAGGTTCGACTATCGGTCGAATTCTCCTCTCCAGTACCAGGAATAGACCCTGGAATTGGAAATTGTTCAAAACAATTTGTTCTGTCGGGAATGCAAGAAAAAAATTCAAACCATTTCCAGTCAATAAGGGTTTTTTTTCCCCCATTACTTTCAACACCGCCATATATAATGTACATACATATATATATACATATATATATATATATATATACTGTATATATATATATATTTACAGTATATATATATACTGTATATATATACATATATATACTGTATATATATATACAGTATACTGTATGTATATATACAGTATATCTATATATATTTACTGTATATATATGTATATATATACATATATACATATATATAATATATATACTGTATGATTAACTAAGCGTGCAATTATTGCATCATAAATGTTACACTTAAAAAAATGGAAAACTACTGAGCATTCGTGTGACAAAGAGGGGAAATGTACCGAGTAATTGTGTGACAAAAAAAATATAAGTATTATTTCTGTTGGTATGACAGAAAAGAATTGAGAACGTGTGCATAAAGGGGACATTATAGACAACTGGTTGACAACAGGCAAATGTTCCTCCTCTGCAGACTGGAAACCGTTCCAGGTGTTCTGGTCCAGTTGAGCTTGATTCAGCGCTGCAGGGAGGAAGTGATTGTAGGCCGCACGCACACATATACACCAGAGAGCCAGCCAAACATAGACATGAACCACCAATACCAAAACCCAAGAACAAGAAAAGAAATTTGGACATTAAGTAGATGATTATTATGGGTATGTTCAGATCAGCTGTTTGGCTTGACAAACATGAAACGTTAGACCCGACAGATACGACAAAATAAAGTACTTTCAGCTGTTTGGCTGAACATTCATTAAAAAAAAAATACTCCTCATGCTTTTTAACAAATGCACTAAGAAACATGTCATGGAAAACTAATACTGTCTAAAAATGATGATAAACCCTTTATTTGGATTTTTTATTTATAAGATAAGAAACTAAGGCGCTGGGGCCAGATGCGAACTTGCAGAAAATGATAAAAGTATTTTTTTTACATTTTAGCCTCTATGCATGGCCTTTACATGTCAGTTAATAGGAAATATGTCATGAAAAACGAATAGTGTCTAAAAGTAATAGTAACCCTCTCTTTTTATTTTTATAGATAATATTGTCAGTAGATTAACTCCTATTCATCTTGTTGTACTTGGTGTTTAAAATAGTGAAAGGTGTGGCTTTTGCTGATGCACCATTACAAGCCGCCGTCTTTACTTAATATGAGCCAAACGAAGACAAAGAGCTTTTGTTCTTGTTTGGATGATAAACCGGTAAAGTGCTGACAGAGTCATGTCAGGTTTGAGACACCAACTATAGCACATTTCTGTTTGTTTGGTCTCATGTAGGAAAATTTCACCAAACCGGTCTGACCTGTTCTGATTAGGATCACATGTAGTTATATTTCACTAGCAGCATTAACATCAGGTTCATTTAAATGCTGAATGATCTGGAGTTGAACAGTGCTTTTTTTTCTTCTTCTCGACTTTATGATTTCCAGCATTGATTTGATCATTTTGAGCTCTGGGATCAATATATATATATTGGGGTCTGGTTTTCAGTAGCACATCTGCACTAAAACACATTCTTAAAAAAAACGTTTCGCAAAACTAACAGCTCAACTTAATGTTTCTTTGTTTTGTTGTTGTTTTGTTGTTGCTTTGTTTATCTTTGTCTTAGTGATGGTTTTATGCCTTGTTTAATATTGTGCAATACCTAACATGTTTAAGTCAGGTGCAGCCATGACATTTTTCTTGTTATGTAAGGCATAGCCCAGGCATGGGCAAACTTTTTTGACTCGCAGGCCACAATTGTCCTAAAATTGTACGAAGGGGTCGGGTCAGGAGCAGATAGATGGCACGATGGTGTGAACTAAGATAAATGACATGTAAAAGTCATGCATAAAGGCTGAAAATGCTAAAATGCTTTTATCACACCATCTATTGGAGAACATGGATATTGCAGGGAAAAGGCAGAAGTATATTGAGAATATGAATTTGGAAAAGTTTGGCGGACCGGATTAAAAAGCTGAACGGGCCGCATCCGGCCCCCTGGCCTTAGTTTGCCCATGCCTGGCATAGCCCAGGAAAACATACTTTACTTCATATACGAAAATCTGTGTAATCTGTGAACGATTGTGTGATTTAGTTGTAAAAAAAGATCTAAAAATTTTCTTTTCATCTTTTGATGTGACTTCCTTGAAGCAAATATGCAGTCAGTTTGGTGTAATTTTTAAATAGAAAATTGTTTGAAAATTGTTTTTTTTTTAGTTATTATTATTATAGTCTCATTTGTACATTCTCCTACATTTTCTGTCTACTTCAATTGGTTGATTGATTTCAGTTTATTTAGCACGCGGCATTAGAGTAAACCTCTCAGGAGCAGCACAAAATGAATGACTAATACTGAGTTAAAGCGCTGACATCCTCACAAATAGAAACAAACACTGGTTGAGTTGACATCTGGTCCAGCTGGTCCAACAGGCCTAACAAGAGAAGGGGAGGAGAAAGAGGAAGGTTTCACACCTGACACGGTGCAATGTTCAACTTTGACAAAATTAATGCCAGCCCGAGAAGGAATAAAAACCATGTGTTAAAAGCTTTTCTTCCTCCTGAATGAAGCATCAGACATGAAGATGGAAGAATTATTCGCTGGCAGTCCTTTTGACTTACCTTATCAGGTAACTATGTTTATGTCTATGTACCATTCCCTTGTCTCTGTCCTGACCACTGCGTTCTCAGCTCTGAGTGAGTATGTGAGTTCGAACTTTGGAATGTATTTTGAAACGGCACGTTATTCTTAACGTCTGTGCTGTGCAGTTAGCCTTTTCAAAACCAAACAAACAATTTAAAAAACAATATATATAGCCGCTGCATTGTGCACCAAGAGTGAAAAAGTGACTGCAGTGGATCAGCAGGTACGATGGAATGTTTGCTAACGCAGTTCAAAACAATGCTGCCCGTAGGCAGTCACGGACAGGTTATTTTTTGGAACATCATGGGACAAAACAGTTCATTTTAATGTTAAATTTGCCTCATGTCCGACTACGCTTGTGCTAGTGTTAGTGATTCTGATCAAGGAAATGTCAAACAGAAACTTTTAAACAAACCATTTTAATACGCAATAATAAAATTATCAAAGAGAGCAACAGATTAAGTCAGGCATGGGCAAACTAAGGCCCGGGGGGCCAGATGCGGCCCATTCAGTTTTTAAATCCAGCCAATTTATTCATATTCTCATTATACTTCTGCCTTTTCCCTGCAATATCCACGTTTCCCCAATAGATGGTGCAGAAAATGATAGATGTATTTTAGCATTTTAGCCTTATTTCAGATCACACCAACGCTCCATCTATCTGCTCCTGACCCGTCCCCCTTGTTCAATTCTAGGACAATGAGTCAAAAAGTTTGCCCACGCTTGGATTAAGCAGTTACTAGTCATTACTTAATCATCAATTTCTGTGATTCGTCCCCCTTGTTCAATTCAAGGACAATGAGTCAAAAAGTTTACCCACGCTTAGATTAAGCAGTTAATACTCATTACTTAATCATCAATTTCTGTGATTTCTGTTTGTTATTGGAAAATAATTATCTCATTCAAGGTGTCTTTTTCCACAGTGATTATAAGGACTCTGGAAATCAAATTCAAGCCAGGTTGCACCCTTTATGTAATCCTGCCAACATGTGTGATAACAGGGAAAGACACGGGCTTGGGCATAGCCAGAACAACTTAGCGGGAAGGGCCCCTAATGTAAAGCCAAAACTCGACGAAAGAGGTAGAAGCAGCGACGAGCAGCAACGGAAGACGAAGAAACCTGCAAGAGTCAGACGGTCAAGGAGCAACGAGTCGCACGGAGTGGAAAGAGGGCGACGGAGAGAAAAAGACAGGCACAGCGGAGGTTGGAGACGACGTGGAAGAAGCGAAGAAGCCCGAAGAAGAGAAAACAGGGAGAGCGATCGGAGAAAGGAGCTGAGGCGCTCTGAAAATGACATTGACGTAACCGAGTGTGCTATTTGTTTTTGCTCTTATGACAATACTTTCAAAACCCCAAAACTGCTGGTTTGTGGGCACACCTTTTGCCTGGAATGTCTAGCTCGCATCAACGTCACCTCTGCTGAACTCAAGGCCCTGTCTTGCCCTGTGTGTCGCGAGTTGACCGAGATTCCACATGGCCAGGACCTACCCCGACTGAGCAACAACGAAGACATCATCGGACAACTTCCACCAGATATGCGAAGGGCACTGTCCATTCGCTTCAAGCGAAGTCAAGGCAAACTGTTACTGAAGAATCCTGGGACCGTCATTCTTACTAAATCCAGAGTGCCCAAAAGTCAAGAGGGTCAGGTGGAAGATTGTGACCTGAGCCAGAGGATACCACGGCAGACAGTGGTTCAGGCCACCATTGTAGATGTTGGAAGGCCTCCCAACCGCGTGAGAGGACATTTGCGTAGGCTGTTCCGTTCAGACCAATGCTACTACGCTGTGGTGGTGTCCATCATCTCTGTCACTGTCGCACTGGTACTGGTGGGTATTCTGGCCTTTGTCATTGTACCAAATGTTATCCTTCAACAGCAGCCTGTTCCTTCGGGAAACCAGTCAACACCGATCAGCAGTGAAGAAGAACCATAACAGACAGTGGAAATTAGGCACGTCATGTTTACATCAGAAAGCACCAGTTACTTTTTCTTAAAATAATAATAATAATAATAATAATAATAATAATAATAAATATATTTGAATAACATATAACGAAGATGGATTTTAATAATGATGTCTGAATCTGATGATATCCCGCGAATATTACGGGCAAACAGTCTTTTCACATTATCAGGGGAACTGCTAGATGCAGATTTCCGCAGATATTTCATGTTAGCTCTTCATTGCTGAATGACCTCCTTGAGAATTATAAACAACTGTGAGATAATATTCTTATCTAGGTTATGTAAGTTTCATTACATTTTAAATGACAACAACTTAATAAAAAGGGGTTGCGACGGTAGATTGCTGTAACGCAAGCGTGGGCAAACTTTTTGAGTCGTGGGCCACGATTGTCCTAACGATTGAACAGCGGGGCAGGGTCAGGAGCAGATAGATGGAGCGTTCGTGTAAACTAAGATAAGTGACATGTAAAAGTCATGCATATAATTTTCTACGCCATCTATTGGGGAAACGTGGACATTGCAGGGAAAAGGCAGAAGTATAATGATAATATGAATGAATTACATAATTTGGAAAAGTTTGGCAGGCCGAGTTAAAAAGCTGAACAGGCCGCATCTGGCCCCCTGGCCTTAGTTTGCCCATGACTGCTGTAACCTCTTGGACGTGTCAGGATGATGTTGCAAGCAATAATATATAATAAGTCAAACGTAGTATTTAAAATGTGATCTGAATTTGCATTGACGACCATATTCAGGGGCAATGGAATATTGCAAAGAATATGCTATAAATGAGCGGTCCCCCAACCCCCAGTTTGTGGACTGATGCCAGTCTGTAGATCAAAAGAATCCAGTCATATCCCTTTACTTTTTTCCATTAAAGATAATCTGACAATGTTTCAAAACAATAGTTCATTCAGATTTTGATCCTAACAGAATAATGTCTAAAAGATGTTTTATTTTGAAAATTTAACCCTGACATGATGCCTTGATGCATGACCCATGATATACTGAGTTAAAATTCATTTTAATAGCTGTCCACTGTAGTGACCGTCATGCATGAAAGGGTTAATCGTCCTTCAATGATGGCACGGTATTACCGGTCTGCAGTAACTGCTGCTTTAAATGAATGTATCATTTTCAAGATTAGCTTGATTACAAAAAAGAAATGGTCAATTTCCTGTATATAAAGTGGTTTGCCATAATTGCAAGTCCCTGAACTTCAAAACATATGCATGTGAATAGCCAAGATCAGGCTGCTTTTAATGGGCAATAAGCTGTAAATGTCAAACGGAACAAAATGCTGTGATACAAAGTATCTTATTTCTTTCTTATTTTTGGTATGTTAAGCTTATTTTCAAATCTTTGAAGAATATTAGCAACAAGCTGCTTGTAAATATGCTTAGATGATTTATATTTTCTATATATGTATTTATGTAAACAGTATATATACATATGTATATGTATATACTGTATATACTGTTCTTATTATTACCTGTACTTGCCTTATTCAACATTGTTGAACAATTACATGAAATATGTTGTATTAAGAACAGAAAAACTTTTTTGTTAATAATTATCTTATGCTAAGTAGATGTAATAATTTCTGAATAGCAAATTTTAAGAACAGAAAAAAAATGTTAATAATTATCTTATGCTAATTAGATGTAATAATTTCTGAATAGCAAATAAAATATTTATTTACATATTTTGGAGCAGTATCTGTGGGTTTGCAAAGGGGGTACTCGAACTAATGCTGTTTGGGGGGGGCTTTGGCATGGTATGACCCCCGGCAATAAAAACACATTTGGCCAATGGTCCTGTTTTGTCTACGTATATGCAAACTGAAAAGAAACATTTGCATCTGCATGTTTTAATGAAAGAAACGACTTTTCCCGTTGAACTCGTCATGAAACTATTATGAACCAGTCCTGGAAACTCCCTGTCTGCACCCCCGGAAGGGGATAGATATCTGTTTCACGCTGCAACAAAAGGAAGTTATTAAAGTAACTTAATTAACAAATATAACTATACTATTTTGTAGATTTCATCTTTAAAGGCCCTACTCCTAATTAACTAATTCAGGATAAGAAGTTAATGCGTATGTATTGTTGCTATATAACACATTAAGTACGTAGTTAAAATGGTTTCAGTAGTTTATTATTTATTTTTTTACTATCAGAACTGGTTTCTCATACTTGTAACCATACCTATCTATAAATTGTTGCATATATAAATGTATTTTTATAAAAAAAATTTCGAGTATTTTTCCGAGTATAAAACCTACATTCTCACATGCATTACCAAACTATTTTGAAGATATTATGTTTACTTTGGGATTAAGCGGGTTCAATCCTATAAACACGAACTCCGTCAAGGAAGCCCCGCCCCTTTAATGTGTTGCTTGTCAAAATAGAAGTTGGGGTGGGACTTGCTCAACTGCTCTAAGTAGGAAGTTGTTATTTTACTTTCTCCTTCCTCCATGTACCATAAGCGGAGACGACGGATATTTGGAAACTGTCGTGGCTTCTTTCAAGTTACAAAAACCCAGTACAAAAACACCGGTACAGCGACGTCCATTCCTATTTACCTCTTTCGCATGTTTTAGTCGGAACGCAGGGAACACAGAAATGCTCACAAGCCGAGACGTTAGAAGACGCGGTAGCACTGTTACGGTGAGTCGTCGTTTGTTATATATGAACAAATTTCAGTTTTTTCAAAATTGTATTTATATGGGATTCGTCCATTCACGTGTGTTGAAACTCCTATTAACAGGAAGTAGGCTCTCAACATCTTTCACATGTCGACCTCCTTGCTTCCCCTTTAGTCGAGACAGTGGTTAGGAACAACCCACTGAGGAACTAGTAAAAAACAAAAGGTTTAGGGAAGGAGTTACCCTTAAGTAAAATGTATTTATCATAACTATTTTTGTAACGTTTTTATATAATGTGATCTGATAAACCTCAAGTTATTGTTGATGACAAGTAAATAACAAGGAGTGTAAAATTTGAACATTTAATTTTTTATACTATTCACCACTCATCGTTCATTCTGCCTGTAATTACTAATTACTGAGTAATGTCACAGCTTATATATTCTCACAAGTGTGTTTCTTTGTACTTTGTACATATATTGTTAGTTTATATCCCTTTCCCTTGCATATATCTCCCTTATTTTGTTCTTGCCATTTTGCACCGTGGGTCTGAGAGGAGTGTAATTTCATTGTGCCATATGTTCTGTATGTATGGCATATTTGAGAATAAAGTTGACTTTGACTTTGATACTAAAGAATAAAAAAGTAGCATGGTAATATACAGTGTAACTAAAGAATAAAAAGTAGCATGGTAATATACAGTGTAGTGTAGTGACAGGTAGGACAAGAACAGGTATGTTCAGGCCACAAAAAGACAATATTGCTGCCACTCTTGAATCATTTTCAAACGATTAATGTTCATTGGTTGTCCAATATTATTTTATAATGTTGTGTTACTGCTATTGTCACTAATGGTATACCTATTCTTTTGTCATTCATTTTTCCTTAGGTTGGCAAAAGACACATTTTTCTAGTCAGACCCCTGCTCTCCTGACCCCCCAAATTTTCAAATTCTGGGACATGGTTCGCAAAAGAGGCTCCCTAATTCTCTGTTGCACATTCTTGTTTATCACCTGGAATGCCATACTTGTACTTCTGCTGAGGGACAGATCCCCGCCTGTGCAGTCGAGAGTACCTGGTGGAGAGCACATGGAACTTGTCTCAAAGCCTACTCATTTTGCTGTGGGGGATGTGATGCGAATGGTGGAGACATTTGAAGCAGAGCTGGAATTGCAAAAAAAAATCTTGTTACAGATCCAAAGCCATCGGGTGCCGTTTGAGCCATTAAAAGGTTCCAAACAAAACATTGTGGCGAATACTGAGCATATCATTCCAATCCTGGTTATCGCATGTAACAGGGTGACGATAAAGCGGTGTTTGGACAAACTCTTGCAGTACCGCCCTTCCGCAGAGCTTTATCCAATCTTAGTGAGCCAGGATTGTGGACATGCTGAGACTTCGAAGGTGATTCAGTCTTACAGGAATCAAGTGACTCATTTGAAACAGCCCGACTTGTCAGACATCCCTGTGCGTCCAGAGCATAAGAAGTTTCAGGGCTATTACAAGATCTCCAGACATTACCGTTGGGCACTCAACCAAGTATTCAAGACGCTTTCTTATTCCTCCGTTGTGATTGTAGAGGATGATTTGGAGGTAATTTGATATTTTATATTTGCTACCTAAACATTTCTGTAATATCATATTGTAATGGCAAATTGTACTCACTATTAGCAAATAGTTCATTTATTCTGCCAGGAGAAAATATATCACATTGTAATGGCAAATTGTACACACTATTAGCAAGTAGTTCATTTATTCTGCCAGGAGAAAATTGAGGTAATGTGTAATGTCTAGCAACATACTTACATCATAACTTTGTGTTTCAGCTAATTAATTTCATATTAATTCATTAGAACAATTGATTTTTCATTCTGGCAATAATTACAAAGTATAACATGTTGTATTTTTTTTTTCTGTTTCCCTAGGTGGCATCAGATTTCTTTGAGTATTTCCAAGCCTTGCTGCCTCTTCTGAAATCTGATCCCAGCCTATGGTGTGTATCTGCTTGGAATGACAACGGTAGGGACGGTTTTGTAGATCCAGCAAAGGTGCAACTGCTTTACCGGACAGACTTTTTTCCTGGTCTTGGCTGGATGCTCTTGAGGGAATTATGGGAGGAGCTTGAGCCAAAATGGCCCGCATCTTTTTGGGATGACTGGATGCGTCTGCCTGAGCAACGTCGCAATCGCGCCTGTGTCCGACCAGAAATTTCTCGTACATTAACATTTGGTCGTCAAGGTGTTAGTCTTGGTCAGTTTTATGATAAGTACTTGCGTTTTATAAAACTGAATACAGAATATGTGCCTTTCACAAAGCTGGACCTAGCTTATCTTGGGGAAGAGACATACCAAGAACATTTTGAGAAGGAAGTTTACAACGCTCCCTTAGTCACCTATGAAGAGGTTAAACAAGGGCAACTGAAGGGATCTGGACCCTTTCGCCTCCAATACTCAAGTAAGGACAACTTCAAAATACTAGCCAAAAACCTGGGAATCATGGACGACCTGAAATCTGGAGTCCCAAGAACAGGATACAGAGGAATTATTAGTTTCATCTCAAGAGGGAGGAGAATATATTTAACTGCCCCGCCAGGATGGAAACACTATGATCCCTCTTGGAGCTGATAATCCGGGTCAAATCCCTTTTTTTGGGTGTCACTTCAAGTCTTGAACACTAGATAAAATTTGAAGAATTAAAAAATGTTTCTGGAAATAATGTTACATTTGAACCAACTGTAATTCAGGGATAACCCCAAACACCCTCAGTTCGATCAATTTTGCAATTTTTAAATATGTAATTGTGTACTAGCAAGACTGAAAGAATCTGCTCCATTTATATTATGACTTTCACACTGCTATTTAAACACCTGATACATATTTTAATGCTTGGTTTGTTTGTTTTTTAATTCAAAAACACGTTTATTCTTCATTCATCTTTGCATTTTGTGTCTTTGTACGGAGAATAGAGCTATTTCGGCTGTTACATTCAACATTTTAAAGAGCCACTATTATGCAAATAAAACGTTTCCTTGAGCCCAATAAAATGTTAGATGTTTGTAAGATGCTTTTGTAAAAAAAAAAAACTGGCCAAAAACTGATCAGACTAACCAAGTTAATTTTACATCATTCTGCTTTTTTTTTTTTTTAACTCACATTTGATTTCAATATACACGTTGATGTTATAAATCATGCTTTAGGAAAGAAAATTCGATCCTTCAATTACATCTTTGAGCTACATCAATATATTGATTTTGTCTACCCACTCCAAGACAATCTTCTGAACCTGGTCCATTGTTCAAATGGTGTTCCTTTTAACACTTCTGTCATTTTCCTCCAATTTAAGATTTAAGCAAAACTGCTTTGAATCCACATAAGTTTTTCTGTCACTATCAACAACCCTTTAGATAAAGAGTCTGGAGGTCTTCCATGACAGCAATGCCATTCATATCATATCCTACATTAACGAATTACTCTATTCTCGATATTACTTATTTTATTAATATTCTTAGTTTAATTTATAGTGGCAGTGATGTAAGAAGCGAGACTGTTATCCATTTTTCTAATGGTGATTCTGTGAGCGATTCTAAGGTCTATTCAAGATATCATCATTCTACTTTTGTGCAAGACTGTGCAAGTTTGTTTTTGAAAATGTACTTGATTAACAATTTCATGTCAGGCAATGTCTCTGTCATTGGTGTGGAATTGCAGGGTTCACCTCCTGGGCAAGATGGAATCCCAGTTAGGGTGGTTGGCACCTTCCAGTGGGCTTTTTTCCTCTTGTGGAGAGCAAATTGTGAAACATATTGAAAATTTAAATCCTTTCAAAGAATTCTGTGTCTATGCTCTTTTTGAATATTATTCTCTGCTTTGATTAAATATATGATACAGTGGTGATACAAAACTAAGCAGAACTAAAAAAAAAAAAGTAACGGATTTTTAAAAAAGGATCTTCAATGCTTATGCACAATAATAATAATAATAATAATAATAATAATAATAGGTGAGGCTGCGATTCCATTGGCATTCACTGGCGCCACCTATATATTTTGTGATCGTGTGGTAAAATAAAACGGCGATCTTATTAAACTGGCGTAATCTTAGATCAAAGTCTGCTAAGTCACTTTGTACGGAAGCCCAACGAGTCCAAATATGGCGTCAACCACTCCGCTCTAGCGCCCTGCTGTTTACATCATATGTGATGATAGTGAGGCTTCAAAACCGAGACAGCTACAATTGCTGGCAGGTCGAGCTGAAGTAAAGAAGGACCGGTGAGACATGGCAGTGAACACAAACGGTTAGAAGCATCGTAATGGTGCTTTTATTTTTCACCTTTTGATTGTTTGTAGCCGCGTCGGTGGCATAAATGGCGTCAAGCTTATACGTTTGCGTGCAGGCCAAGCTAGCGTTAGCGGGCTCTGGTTTCGATTTTATAAGATTGCCTGCGTTCTTTTCGCCTTTCGCCGCTGCTGGAATTATTGTAACCACACGGCTTATAATATTTGCATAGACCAATGCAGCAAACGTCGCACCTACCGCTGACTACCACTTAACGCTACTACTACCACCGAAACTAGCCTGCTTTAGAATGGAGCTAGATAACTTGCGTGAGAGCCCAGCAGGTTCAGGGGAGTCTGGTGTCGGTGAATGGCGAGAGGTCGTTACAGGCGTGGATAGCGAAGAGGAGGTTAAAGTCGTGGAAAGCAAGGTAGCAACAATTGAAGACAACAACGATAACGACGCTGGTGAAAAGCAACGGAGCATGAATGAGCAACCGCACAATCAGTACGAAGAGGAACTGGACCCACGTATCCAGGTATGATTAGTAGCTCACTCTAAAAGATAACTGTCACAACTACAACAACACACACACACAATTATTAATGCAGTGGTTCCCAAACTTTCTCTGAAGTTTATTAGAACATTTTCGTCCCTCCCTAAAAAACAAAAACAAACAAACAACAAAAAGCTGGCCCTCCAGTCGCCAAGGTTTTCCCATCACTATCTGAGTCATCTCCTTCATGGCTGAGGACCTCAGCCTTCATTTTGTGGTCATCCAATGACAGGCTATAGAGCAGTACTTCTCAAATAGTCGGGCACCTAGCCTCTAGTCTAGACGCTAGGTGTCACTATTCACTTAGCCTCCAGTCACTAGGTGTCACTAGTCAACAGCAACTCTATACATGCTGTCAGGTTCTCAATAGTATTTCAATTGGGGGCGGGTGGTGACGGATATTAAAATGAGAACCACTGCGGGAATCTTTCTAGCAGAGAGAGCGCGCCAAAAAACTCACGTATTTTAAAATGTATTTCCGTGAGAGCCATACAGTATTTGTTTTGCTCTGAATACAACTAAATGTGTGAATTTTTAAACAAGACCGCTATAGTATAGTGCAAAAGTACTATGAAGCAGAAGCATTTAATCCAGGGTTACCACAGTTTTTTTTCTAAACGGGATGCCTTTCCTGATGCAACCTAAAACTTAGAAAAACATGATACCTTCTAGTACGCTGGAGAGCCAAAAGTTTAATGATAAAAATAAGGAACTGTACAGTAAATTTGTTTCCTGACCACAATGAGGTGCCACCACACATGACACTTCTAGGGAAAGGGCTAAAAAGCACATTAAATGTATACTTCAAAATGTATTTATATAATTCCCCCAAAGGGCCCAGGATGCCTGGAACACATTTGATGAGATAAAAATAGACGTATTTCTTAAATTAGCTACAAGCGCTTGAATAAGATAAGAAAAATGAATACATGTGTTTGAACTAGGGATGAACCGATCCACAGTTTTTCACTTCCGATCCGATCCCGATATTTTGGATTTGGATATCGGCCGATACCGATACTATTGCGATACTATTGCTTTAATATTATTATTATACAGTAATATGCATGTATTTCCCAAAAGGCATCTTGAGGTTAGTTTAAGGTCAGAAAAGGAAGTCAAAAATACAGGAAACCATGTTAACAGGAAAAACCCCATTGTTAAAACAAATATGTAACTGTATGGGTTTGAAATTGAACATTTTATTAAGTGCAAAGTAAACATCTTACAACAACTTTGCTACATTGACAACAATGTAGCAACATGTGTAATCAACATGTAATCAACATGTGTTGATTACATGTTGTTACATTACATTATTATTTTAATATATTATATATTATTATATATATTATATGATATATATTATATATAATATTATATAATATATATATAAATATATATATTATATAATATATATAATTAATATATTATATATATTTTATATATTATATATTATATATTAATATAATATATATATTAATAATGTATTGTATTACATTACATTATTATGTATTACATTACATTATTATGTGTTGATTATGTGTTGATTAATGTGTAATCAACATGTGGTTCGGCAAGATATGACTTTTTTTAGTTGGTCTCGCCCGTCCTTGTGTCGCGCGTCCATTTTTTGCCGTGGTGCAATGTCTTGCTCCTGCTGTGTGCATCAACAAAGAATTAGAAGTTATCTTAGTAAACACTGTTAAAGTTAGAATTGCAAAGATTTTGCCAATGTTTGTTTGCGAAATTCAGAATAGACTTTTTGCATTGCTGTATATTGGTGGTACAGTTAAAATAATTATAATTATTAAATATCAGTTGTGGATTGTAATTATTTATGTAGTGTAACGTTATTTTTGACTTGGTGTTTATTTAATGGCAGGTCTATGGCAGGTCTCGAATAAAATTTTTTGGTAAAGGTGCAATGGTGCACATAAAGAAAAAAATTACTTGCACTGAACAAAAATTGCTTGCACTAGCAAATTTACTCAGTCAGGCAAAAAAACAAAACAAAATATTTTATACCTGTATGTTATACAGTATGGTTTTGATCTTTGTTAATACAAACATTCAGGACAGTTTGATTTCAGTCTACAGTCCTGTTTTATTTATTCCTATCTCCTGCACTCTCCGCTGTGTTCAACTCCTTTACTGCTCTCTTCTACTTTGCCGTTAACAACTACACCCAACAGTCACCATGGGCCAACTTTATTTATACCACGTGATGCGACGCTGTCACAGTTCTGGCAATCAATGAGAAAAAAAATGAAAATGTTCTCGATTTGTTTACTGACGAGGTTAAATCAATTCTTATGACCATTCCATTTTACTAAGCCCCACTTTCACACAATACTGTCTGAATATATTTGTGAAGTAAATAATAATTTGCTTAATTTGTTGAACTTAAAATATTCTACAAAGCATTTTTGTTTGTTTGTTTTTCTTCACAGGAGGAATTGGAACAACTAAATGAAGCAAGCGCAGAAATCAATAAGTTGGAACTGCAACTTGACGTAAGTATAAACTCAGACTCTAAACCCTTAGGAATTGATTTTCTTGATCTGTAGATTAAGCATCAGACAATGCAAGCACCACATTTCATAATTGGCATCTGGCAAGATGCATGGAGCATCATTTTTTTTTTTACCATGCCCAGCGCATTAAAACACATTGCAAATAAGATTTTGCCTCTGTAAAGCTTTGTAAAATCCACTTTTTCAGAACCGAAATTCAATGTAAACTAAATTGGAAGCCTCTCATTTGCATACCACCTCACTTAATCAGGGCTCGAATGACGTTTTTCGGTGAAGGTGCACTGCTGCAGTCAGGCAAAAAAAAAAAAAAAAATGTTAACAAAATATTTTATACCTTTTGTTGGGAGGTATGTTGATTAAACATGTTGCTACATTGTTGTCAATGTAGCAAAGTTGTTGTAAAAAATACGTCATGTTACATTACAGTTATGTGTTCTTACGTTCAATTCTAGGAGAACGATAAATATTCTATTATACGTTAAGCTGTTCAAGTTTAAAAGATGTATGTATATGGGAAATAATGTTAATAACAAATAGATACAAATGTATAAAAATAGAATTTACCTTAATATTGGCATTGTAAGACTGCTTGTTGATATTGTTATTCTGTAGCTATTGTCAGTGTAGGTGCCTTTAAATGGTCATTTATGAAAATATTGAGTCGAACTTGTCTAACCTGGGGATTGTTGTGGCTCAGTAAATAGGTGTGTAAAAATAAAATTCCAAAAAGCTTTTTCTTAAAAAACATTCTTTGTATTTTCTACAATCATCATCCAGGATGCCAGATCGAGCTACAGGAAGATACTTACAGATTCTGCTCGAAAGCTGAATGCTCAGAGCTCTCAGCTTGGAGGCTGCATAGAGAAAGCTAGACCATATTATGAAGCACGTCGTCTCGCAAAAGAGGTAAGCAATAATGTTTTATAAAGTAATCCTAAAGTGTTTTAAAGGTTTCTTACGTGCCTTTGTGAAATAGTGGGGGATGGCTTGGTACACGTTTTTTTATATCTGATACCGCAACTTCTGATCAAGCATCTGCTGATCAAATAAAGTCAGCTTTATTTTTTTTTTTAGTGTAGGTTTGCATTTTTGTTCTTTGTCTTAAATGTAGCCCAATGCTACTTCACTTTTGCTTTTTACTTTTTCCCTAAGGTTCCTGTTAGGAACCCTTAGGTATCGGATCGGGCGGACT